TGTTGGTTGGTGGGTTGGTTTGTTGGTTTGTCTGTTTTGTAGTACTCAGGGTCAATCCAGACCCCTGGACCTGCTAAGCAAACACCCATTCACTGACCTATATTCCCAGCCTTACATGTTCCTTTTTGAGGGGAAAGTCTTGATTTTACAACTTTTGCCCCTTTCTAATCAATGAAAGGATTTTTTTTTGATATTTTAAAGATTTTCATGGCACAATCCCTCTTCAGACTTTAAGCAGTTCCTTTTTAAATTGTATTTAGCTCTCCCACTTTAAGTGCTAAGGATGGTTGATTACCATTTACTCTGCTGGAAATTATTTACTTTCCCAGAAGCTTTTGCTTTTGAAAGAATGTCTCCATCAGAAAATATAAGCTTACAGCCCAACTTTCTAACATGCCCTAACCAAAGCCTCACTGTGCCTGCTGCTCTCCTATGGCATTTGTTCAGTTTCATGGTGCTTTCAAATAATCTTTCATAGACGTGATGAACTTAAGTAAATTAATTGGTTTCCAATGTTGGTGTCTGTATTTCTCCTTTATGTCTGTCTTCAGCTATAAGGAGAATGCCATGAGACTATCAAGAATTCACCACGACCAGCCAGTGAAGCCCCTCAACCGAGCCGTCTTCTGGGTGGAGTATGTCATGCGCCACAAAGGAGCCAAGCACCTTCGGGTGGCAGCCCACGACCTCAGCTGGTTCCAGTACCACTCCCTGGATGTGATTGGGTTCCTGCTGGCCTGCGTGGTGACTGTGACAGTCATCATCTCAAAATGTTGCCTCTTTTGTTACCAGAAATTTGCTAAAGCTGGAAAGAAGAAGAAAAGGCAGTAGCTGTATCTACACCTGAATTTAGGAGGTTTCACATGGACCTCTTCCAGTGCATTCCAGTAAGAGGGGACGATGATCATGGGTTCCTTCCACATATGAATAGACAACCTTCACTAATTATTCATCAAATCACAGGATATTTTTCCAGATAAGTAATTTTGTTTAAGAGTTAGCAGTATTTTAGGCCAAAGAGAAATTTAAATTTAAAAAATAGCAATTAAAATAGTCAACATTGGCATCTCTAGGCATTTTAAGAATTCACTTTTACAACCTAGAATTTTTACCGAAAAAAAATCAGGGCTGGGGAGGGAGATGGCTCAGGAAAGACAGACTAATTGAATTTGAACAGCAAGAACCCATGTAAAAATGAGACACAGTAGCATAAAATAAAATAATAAAAGAAAATAAACTTGGAAAACCACCCTAGATGGGAGTGAGAGGCATGAGGATTACCTGGAGCTTGCAGTGAGCTAGCCTGTTCTTTACAGCAGTGAACAACAAGAGAGATGCTGCTTCAACAAAGTGGAAGGCAAGAAATCACAGTGGAGGTTTTCTCTGGCCTCCATCCACCTGTTGTGGCACATGTGTATCCGTACAAACACACATATGTATACACACAGACACACAAATGCACATACATCAAATAAGTTTTAGAGTGATCTTAGGGGTTTTTATTCCATGCAAAATCATTAAGAAGCCCACTATGATATAAGTTTTGCAAATATTCTACAAGCTTTAACTTCATTTCTAACAGAATTTTATATTTCTAACCTTCAAGGAAATATTCAATGTTGGAGTAATATAAAAATCATTTGTATTTAAAGAGATCTATAGTTCTGTTTGGATCCTGCTGAACACCAAGCCTCACCATGATTTCTTTGTAAAAGAACCCTGAAAGGTATTTGTCCTTAAGTCTAAAGTCATTTTCAAGCACAAGGTAGAATTAAAATGCACTGATTTATAATTGTCTTCTATTAATTTGATTGTTTGAGAAAAATTGATTTCATGGACTAACTTGGGTTTCAATTTAAGCCTTTAAATAGAGTAGTGAGGTTCTCTCCCCCCCCTCTCTTTCTCTCTTAATTAGCCTTTGGGAACATATGTAAAACTTCAATTTGATTTTGATAACGAACAAAAACTCTGTGTGTGTGTGTGTGTGTGTGTGTGTGTGTGTGTGCATGCATGTGTATGCATGTATCCCTTTTTTTCAAAATAGGACAAGGTTTAGCTATGTTCTTTATAGCTATGTTGTAAAGTTCAATGTTGTAGAAAATAGTTTGAAATAATGATTATGGGCTAGAGAGATGGTTCAGTATGTAAAAGCAATTGCTGTGCAAAACTGAAGATCTGAGTTCTAATTTCCAGCACCCATGTAGAAGCCATGTATTGTCATATACACCTGGAACCCCAGGGTTGTGAAGCACAGGCAGGTGGAACTCCAGAGCTCACTGACTGGCCAGACTAAACAAAATGTCCAGTTTCAGGTTCAGTCAGAGAATGATAAAGGAGACACTTATTGGGAAGCAATAAAGAATAAACTAGTAGATATATGTGATATATAGGTGAAACCACAGGCAAACACCATTATCAGAAAACATTAGAAAAAGAAGAGTAACTGTCTTGGAGGAAGAAACACCTCAAATACTACAACTCTCACTGCAGAAGATTCTGAATTCAATCGGCTCAAAACAGGGAATAACTTCTATGTCCACATTATCAAAAACCATAAGTAGAATTCAGTTTGTGGACTGAGCATAGGTGAGACCATGAAGGGTGTCCTACTAAACCACTGTCCTCCAGGAGGGTGGGAGCATGCCCAAAGCTGGATCTTACATTTCTGTCAAGGAGTTAACACTAAAGTAGAATAAAACTTCACTGTAACTGTATGCACTTTCATTATTATACACAAAATTTATAGAAATGAGAATCTAATACTGGTGGTTACTATAGTATGTTTGCAAAAAATGAAGTTTGTATCAAAACCTTTAAAAAGTATGCCAAAAACGAAGTATTTACCTATGCATAGTGAAGATAAAGGAAAATAAACTGCCTGTGAAGAAAATAAGATTTTAGAATAAAAGAAAATAAATGATAATATAGTTTGACATGAAGAGGGTACAATACCTAAGGATTGAGGGGATATGTAATGGCAATGCCACAAGCAGTAGAAAATATATTCAAAGACATAGAAAATACGTTTCATTCAGGAAAGGATTTAAGAGTTCGTACTAGGTACCCTCAGCTCTTGAACTGAGGAACTATTTTCTGAACCATGCACCTAAACTTTAGCACTTACCACATCGAGCCTCACTTGAACATTGCAAACGCTTCAACAAAGTGTTCATAGCTTATTTTTAAAAAGCAACCAAACAACCTCATACAGGTAAATCTTAATGCAGAAAGGCAGGAGACATGAGAAAAAGCAATGAAATGTAACTAAAGATGATTAATCCTACAGGAATGGAAAATAGTGAGAGTGACTTAGATGAAGTTGCAGAGGACTCAGAACAATGAGCATAAGTATGTTCAACAAAATCAAAAAGGAAATTGAACTCCTGTTTGAGAAAACAAGTATCTGATTGAAATAATAAACATCATGGAAAACGTGGGAAATTAAACTCTTGTTTGAGAAAACAAATATCTGATTGAAATAATAAACATTGTGGAAAACGTGAAAAGGAATTTAACAAAAAGATAGAAATACAGAGGAAGAGTCCCTAAGAAATGGTGAAAATGAAAAACTTTATTTGACTTATATTTTTCATTATCAGCATTTCTTAGGGAATTTTCCTCTGTATTTCTATTTCTTTGTTAAATTTCTTTTATTATCTCTACATGAGTCCATGCGTATAGCTAAAGGCTACATAACAAGAAACAGAGCCAGACAGGAGATATCTTCCTTTGAGTTGTTGTCCAGGGTGGCCCAAGAGACTCCCAAATTACTCAGACTATTGCCACAGCCCTTTATGGCCTCCCAGAACTTGAAGGTAAGACCCCACTGCTGAAGATAGAACATACATCAGACACAGGATTTGGAGCAATAGAGCTGCAAGTGATCTGGAACTTCCCCTGAATGCAGGTCTCATAGGTTTGGAGAGTGCTATGAAAGTGCCAAGAGAAAATATTAATGGATGATCCAACACCAGCTTCAAGAACAAATAACCACATCAGTGGCCAGCACAGCATATATCACTGGTGAAGTAGTAGCACTTTTATCGTGGGGGGAATCAACAGCTACCTGATTTGACTAAAAGCCCACTGAAAGGGAGGAAACTCAAGTGCGGTACCATAACATAACATAATACACATGGTCAGAGTGGTCATAGATCTTAGAGAAAACCCCAAAACTCTCACATCTCTAGACTAATGTGATTTCTTACTATGTACAAAATATATATCCTTATATTTACAGACAAATATCCCAGTCATAACTCATCAAAGAAGCTCATTTTGCAGCAGAGGGTAATACCAAGTACCACAACTGGTCACACACAGACATTGTCTATGAATTGCTCAGGCCCAAGGGACACATCTGCAAAGCAACCTCTACACCTAAGGATCATGGAACATAGAACAGGATAAAGAAGAGGACGCTAAAGAATCAGTTCTCAATAATGAAGCTCCCCCTTGCAATGAAGGGCCAGGAACAAAAAAGGTCACAAATGACCAAAGTGTAGAGATCAAGAGTCTGACAAATAATGGTCCTTGGACAGGACCCCTTTATTAAACTTCATCCACTCAAGGCTCAAGGACCATCATGGAAGAGTGGGCAGAAAAATTGCAAGAGCCAGGGAGGATTTGCATGATCATATAGAAACAGAATCCTACAAGCTCCTCTGAACCTGCTCATATGATTCTATGGCATAGGTGTCAAGATACACAAATCCCATGCAAACTCAGGTAGACTGTAACCCAGCATAGAACTGGGATAATGAACAGCATGCCCCAATCTTATCTAAAGAAATGTTAGCAACTGATTACTGCTAGATGAAGAAGAGCTGTCCTAAAAAAAAAAAAAAAAAAAAAAGGAACTCTAGATAGGCTGACTAGACTCCACAGATGGACTTGCACTGGGGAATGGCTGGGCACACTAACAACACAGTGGGCAATAAGAGGGATGACAGAGTATGTGGGATCCAGTGGGGTGGGGATATAAAGATGATTAAGATTCAGGGCTTGTTTCCACAGCACATATACTAAAACTGGAACAATACAGAAAAGATTAGCATGCCCCAGTTCAAGAATGACATGCAAATTTGTAAAGTGTTTCATATCTTTTACATGTAAGGGTCTGTGGTGTGAGGGAGGGAGGGAAGTCAAGAATGGAAAGATGGAGGGAACACAGTGCAAAATAGAAGAGACTGCTCTCCTTAGAGTGAATAACATTCCATACAGCACCCATCAAAGATACTTCTTTTTGCAACAGATGGAGGCTACCACAGAGTTGCACATCTGGTCAGGCATAGAGAACGTACACCTGGGGCATGCCTGGTACTAGGTGACACATCTGCAGTAGAATACCTATAACCAAGACTCATGGAACATGACAGAATAAGGGGTAAAGAGAGGGCTAATGCAGTTCTCAACTCTCACCAGTGAAGCTTTCATGTATATCAGAGTGCATTACACACAGAATGTCTCAACTGACCAAGTTTTGGAGAATAAGAGAATGTAGAGTGTATGATGGGACTCCTATATGGATCCTCACCTGCCTATAGTTCATTGTGCAAGAGGAGGCAGAAAGATTGTAAGAGCCATATCTGGTTCATGAACATATGAGGCAGAGGCTTCCAGGACAATGGAGCTTGCTCATGTGTGCCTGCAGCAGCGGTGGTGTCCAACACTGCACTCATGTCGGCTCAATTAAACAAGGGTTCAAAGGGGAGGTGAGAAATAAGTGGCAGGTCAGCACTAGATTGAGACTGGTTGCTGTTATGTGAGGGAGAGTATGACTTACACACGACCACCTGATGGGCTGATTAGACTCCAGTGGACACATTTACACTGAAGGACATTTGCATATAAACACCCGAATGAATAGGACTCAGCATGTATGGCAGAATTCACAGGGTTTGGGGGGAGGGGCATGGATGGGATAGGGGGTCTGGATATGAGTGGGAAATATTGCATGAAAATTTTAAATCTCAATAAAATGAGATGTTCTGTATGAAAAACAAAAAAAATCAATAAAAAACAAAAAGTCAAAATAATTTTTTTCTCATTACAGCTTTAACATATTCAGTAACACACTCCAGAGGAGGTTTTGATCTTTTTTAAAGGTTAAAAACTCATTCAATTTTATGTCTTACAGTTATACAATATTGAACTCAGTATAAGCCCTGTAAGACATAAAATTGAATGAGTTTTTAACCTTTAAAAAAGATCTCCATTTCATTTTAAAAAATACTATTCCTTACAGAAAGACTCATTGTTTTTGGTACTAACACTGAGATGTTGGTGCATGCGTCTCTAATCTGTATGTATCTGATTATTCCTAGCCACAGTAGGTTGCACTTGGATCCTTGGCGCCTCTGTATGCCTATAAAGTCATCGGGTAGATTTCAATGGTAATTAGTAGATGTGATACACATTACCATTGAAATCTACCCGATAACTTTATAGACATACAAAAAAAATAAAATTTTTAAATAGGAAAAAAAAAGAGCTCTGTGGAAAGTCTCAGCAGCATAATGGATGCAGGACAGGACAGAGTATCTGAGCACGAAGACAAGATAGGGGAACTGGAAGAACCCAACAGGGGCAAAGATAAAATAGTAAGGTGCCAGTGGGAATTCCAAGATCCATAAGACACTGTGGAACACCAAATCTATGGTCATGGGCATAGAAGGAAGAAGAGAATCTTGTTCTAAAGGAATAAAAAAAAAAAAAAAAGGACACATAACAGGGTCTGCAAGATGGCTCAGCTAGTAAAGGCATTTGCCACCAAGCGTAACCATTTAAGTTCAATCTCCCAACACACCTGCCAGGAAAGAACTCTTGAAAGTTGTTTGCACCTTTGCACAAGTGTTGTGGTGCACACACATGTATACATACACACACACACCACAAAAGAACAATATAATAAAAAATACAAAATATATATTCTTAAGTATGTATTAATGTATTTCATGATACCCAAGTGCTAGACTGAACAAGTCTCTGAAATATAAATGGACTGAAATCACATAGATATATGCACTGACCACAAAGAAATGAAATGAAAAATAAATAATAAAAGAACTAGGGGCAGAAAAGAGTAGTGAACAGAAATTTTACACATTTTAATTGTTACAATATAATGAGGGAAACATTTCAAATCAATGATCATAATTTCACAAAATTAATACAGAACTCAAAATAGCAGAAGTTAAGAAGTAAGATTAGAGCTGAGAAGGTCAAATCAGAAAATAGAAATACATGTCAGCAACCTGGAACCTCATCTTTGTAAGGACAAAATGTTTAAAAAGATATTTAGAGAAAATGACTCCCTAACCCCACGAAAGACATTTGCATAAGTAAAATCATATATGATAGGGGAGACATTATTACCAATTATTCAGAAATAAAAGGGATTACTAGAGAACACTGTGATAATACATTAACAAATAGAAAGGTTCAATGTATGGAAAAATGACAAGAAAGGAATTTTTGTGATAGATATGCAAGAAGAAAAAGAAAATCTTAATACATAAAAAAATGAAAACATTAGATTAGCAAATTAAACCCACAAAAAATAGAAGTTCTCACCTAGAAAGTTTCTGTGGTGTAGTTAATGAGGAATTTATATGATTTTTTAAATTATCCAAGATAAAGAGGAAAGGAGATGGGAGAAAGGGCAGGATTAAACCTCCCCATCTCCATTTCTCACCGGATTTCATGTCTCCTACTATTTTTATGGCTTATGGAGTTTAATTTGTGCCCCAAATGCCCTTCAGTGTGGGTCCATCCTCCGGATCCTGGCCAACCTACCCAGCATCACATCCTTAAAGAATACTCACTCACCCTGTCCCAGCAGCTATCCGTTGCCAACAGTTCTCAATATAATGAGTAGAGTTTTGATTGGCTTTCATTTTTATGAGGTTTTAAAGAATTGTCCATACTATAGTAGATGCACACATTTGAGTAACATGGATAGATCACACTTAATCATTTCTAATTTGACACCTGGCTTGTTCCTATCTTACTGTGAATGCTATTTATATTTTGTATTCCTTTTTTTCAAAGAAAAACACCCTTTGACTTTATTCCTTTCTTGAATTCACATATCTTTTCCAGACCACCAAGAATACAATCACTTGTTTAACTGTCATCCAGGTAACGTCTTCTACAAAGGGCTCGCTGAGTTAAGCCTCTGCGCACCAAGGGTCAAACCCTGTGCTCTCCCCCACAACAGCCAACCACTACGAAATTCCAGGTTTCCAGGGCATCAGACAGCAAAAGCGCTAGCGAGGGAACAGGTGCAGGACTGCGGAAGCCGGCCGGTCTCCATCCAGCCGCAGAGCCCTCAGAGCGGAGCTGAGTTTACCTTGACACAGACTCTCCCTAGTGCCCGGAACCAGACGGCCGGAAGCTGCTCGGAAAGAGGCGGCGAGGAGCTGGGCAGGATCTGAGCTTCCCTGCCTGTGGGACAATGGTGGGTCCCACCGCGGCCGCCAGGCCGGAAGGGCGCAGCGGCCCAGGTCGCCGTGTTACATGTTTAACAGGCGCGGGACCCAGGCTGGGCAGCCCGAGGAAATGGGATCCGCCCTGGTCGGTGCTCAGTCTTCCCTCCCATCTCCGGTACTAGTTCTGTGTTCTTTTCTCTTTGCTGTGTAGCTAAATGACCCGTACGAACGTCTTGAACCTCCGCGGGCAATTGGCAGACGGTTCCAGCCACAGTGGTGCAGGATTCTTCTGACCGCACACGTTCCCTTTTGATTGTCACCAGGCAACAGGGGACGGAGGGCACGGAGGAATATCTCATTATATTTTTATTTAAATTCTCTTGAGCTCAATTTTGATAAGTATAGTGATGCTAAATACTGTTATTTCATGCGCATAGTATTTGCTATTTCTAGGAAATATGTCTGTTCATATTCTCTGGCCATACTCGATTTTTTTCTTCGTATTGTAGAGTAACTAGCTTTTTAAACAACGATGCTTAAGTCTTTTACTGGGCACGTGATTTGTACATGTATTCTCCAGCTTTGTGGTTCATCCTTTTAAGGATGCTCTTTGATGAAGAGAAGCTTTGATTTTTGTGACGTTCAATTTATGTTTAGGGTAGCTGCTTGTGGGCTTGAGAACATACAGAATAATGATTTTCAAATCAGTGTCCAAATATATTTTCATAATTTTAGTCAATATTAATATTTATAACTCATCTTTTTGAACCAATTTAAATTGGCTTTTATTATGGTATGAGGTAGAGGGTACATTTTTAAGTTTTGCCTTTCACTAGTCAGTTTTCTCAGCAGCATTTGGTAAAAAAGACTGCTACTTTTTAAATTGGTTTGTAATCCTTGCCAAAAATCAAGCAAAAATGTGTGTATTTTTTAGTTTCTAAATGTATTGCGTTGATCTGTATGTCTACCTTTATTCTGTACCACACTCCAGTGTACATTGATTTTGTTTTTGCTTTAGCCTCTCTCTCTCTCTCTCTCTCTCTCTCTCTCTCTCTCTCTCTCCTGTGTGTATATGCCATGTATGTACTGTTGTGTGACTGTGGTGCATGCATGTGAGTGTGGTGTGTACTTGTGGGCACAGGAAGTACCAGAAGAGAATCTGTGGTGTCTCCCATCACTCTTTTCCTCATTGCGTTGAGAAAGGATCTTTCATGGACCCTAAAGACATTCTTTTCTAATGTTATCTTGGGATCAGTCTGTCTCCATCCCTCAGTATTAGAATCATACATAGCAATTTCTGACATTTTACATGTGTGCTGGGGATTTCAATTCAGTTCCTCATGCCCAAGACGGATTTCAGGTCAAGCCAGACAAATTCCCAGCAGAAGAGGTAGGGTAAGAAGCCCTACCCCCCTTTTTTTTTTTTTTTTTTTTTTTTTTTTTTTGTCTTTTTGAGACAGGGTCTCCCTGTAGCCCCAGCTATCCTGGAACTCAATGTGTAGACCAGGTTGGCCTTGAACTCACAGAAAACCGCCTGCCTCTGCCTCCCGAGTGCTGGGATTAAAGGCCTGCGCCACCACACCCGGCCCCATAATACCATTTAAATGAACAACACAAGCCAGGTTCGGCCACCCAGCCTCAATAAACCAATTAAAAGGGCCAAGTTTATAGTGA